GTCCATTTCATCATTACCTGCTTCTGACCTGACTCTTACCTTGCCTTGTTGGCTTCATCTCTTCCTTTCCAAACATTAGAGGCATGTGGAGTGCATGTTATTGTGGACTACAAAACCCAAACTCCTCCGGGGAAGCAAGATCGTCGGCCTCCCAGGAACTTCTGGGGGCTGCAATCCAAAGACACACATCTACACACCTCTAAAAAAATAGAACCACATCATGGCAGTGGGGTTTGACAAGCAGAGCAGACCGGGGTGTGTATGTGTGTTGAAAGACAGGCTGGTCTCTACCGGGGGGAATCTCTGTGTGATCAGCAAGGGCTTCCAACTCCCGGCGGTCTGACCAACAGAATAGAAAAACCTTCTCTTCTGGCTTTAGATCATGCCACTGAAATCAAGAACCATCATCAAGTCCGTTCTGAATGTTGGTGACTCTTGGGTTTCGCAGGTAGAGAATTCTCTTAAGTGCTTTACCCTTCCCTTCCTCTAGGGGCGCTGTGGGGACTGTGCAGCTGGCCCAAGGCTACCCAGGCTGGCTCTTCTCCCTGGAGGAGAATCGAACTCCCAACCTCAGGCTCCACAGCCAGAGACCTAAACCAGAAAGCTATCCAGGCAGCCACAAAAATCCAGAACACCTGCAGCAAAGCAAACTTAGGTTTGTGCCAAGCGTGTCGCTGAAACACCCATTCCAAGGCTGAGCTGGTGCTCAGAAGGACTTCTTCCCAGAATCATGGGCCTGCTTTCTTGAGTTACTGTTTCGTGCTGAGTTCTGGTTTGTGGGGTGTGGGCTTGGATTTCTCGTGAACAAGGAGTTGAAGCCCATACACTGAAAGTCTCTCCAATCTGGAGTTCGATTGTGCAAAAATCACACGGGACGAAAAGTTCACACACACAAACCCTATTTAAATGGTTGATGGTAGAGGATGTGCAGGTATTTCTTTTAGAACGATGACTCCCAGAATTTATCAGGTGGCCGGTCCTGCTACCAGAGCATTCTGGGGTTTGTAGTCCAAAAACACAAAATTACAGTAAGGGGGAGAGAGTACGCCTTCCAGCGCCCTGATAAGTTCTGTGTGTTGGCACTCGTGATGAACGTTCACACAGCGGTGCGCCAAACGAGAATTTAAAAGAGGCAGTTGGCAGCTCAACCAACCGGTTCCAGACGGCTTCCAAAGACTGGGGCGGGTCTTTTGTGAAGGTGACGCCTTCCAGACGTCACGCCAGCGCCCTGATAAGTTCTGTGTGTTGGCACTCGTGATGAAAGTTCACACAGCGTTGCGCCAAACGAGAATTTAAAAGAGGCAGTTGGCAGCTCAACCAACCGGTTCCAGACGGCTTCCAAAGACTGGGGCGGGTCTTTTGTGAAGGTAATGGTTCTTAATTGCCCATTCAGTCACCCTCAAAATAATCTGCATCACAACTGGGAAAAGTAAGACATCAAGATACAGTACATTTTTCTATGCAAATCACTCTATCTCCCTATCCTCATGTGGACTGCACCAACACTTATGGCAATTTCAGGGGGTGGAAGTCGTTTTTCTGGTCTGGATATTTTTTTTTAAGGTTAAATTTTTAAAAAAATTAAACCGGAAGGAATCAGAAGTCTACTTCTAGCTTTGAAGACTTGAACGAGCCACGTTCCAGAAGGCTTGTCCGTCTTCCTTCTCGCTTCTGCTAGGCCCAACCTTTCGTAAGCGATCTGTCAGGCCGTGTTTACCGTACCAAAAATAGACGCAGGTAGAAAACCCTTCCAACACACAAGGGAGGAGAGTGATTTTATGACCCAGAGAATATTAAATTTCAAATGCTGATTCACGGCAACATGAAAAGAGCTGGAGAGCGAGGCTGGCAATTCTTTTTAATTATATAAATGCCAACAGATCGCAGCGTGCGGAACCTGATCAAAAAGAGCTGGGAAGACCAGGGTGTGTGGGATTATGAAACGAGCTTTGGCGATTCATTTGGTCCTCTTGTTTTCTTACCAAAAAAAGTTAGCGCTGTAACAATGAGTTTTGCTAGATTGAACCAAGGGTTATTCAAAGTCTATATACAGTATTTCCAGCACGGACTGCTGGGGGCCTCCAGGAAACTCATTTCCAGATTGAAAACAAGGGCGTTTCTTTTTTAACCCCCCAGCATCTGGCAGTATAAGGTACACTGCCTCTAACCATGGAGGATCTATTAACCATCCTTGGACTAAATCCACTCAGTCAACATTAACCAGAAGCACTGTGTATTTCAATTTATCTCTGCTGCTTACAACTAAGATTGGAGCTACTTCATCACTATTATTTATTTACTAATTTATTTATAACATAGGTTGGCATATTTATTTGAGCAATAATATTTTGAGAACACTCTTCATTAAAAGGCTGTCATAACAGACAGACTTCTCCTTATATCCAATTTGATATCCATCAAATTGCTCTGACTTGTACTGACCCTAATATGGTTTTCTAAGTGAAATATTTAAGAGTGTTTTCCCACCCCAGCAATAAGTTTCCACAGCTGAGTGGGGATTCGAACCCAGGCCTACGGAAAGTCCTAGCCTGTCACCCTATCCACTACACCACACTGGCTCTCTTGATAGACTTACCCTCCTCAAATATCTCCCATTGCACTCTCCCTCTAAGTTCACAGTTAGGCCAACATCTTGTGGCGTGGAGTTCCACAAACCAATTACACGCAACACCGCAAAACTCAAGGCGTTATTCCCAGAAACTAGAAAATGCTGCGCAAGGCTATTGTATGTAAATTTGTACAGCTTTGGTACAGGTGTCTACCCACGCACTAAACCCCTCCCAAGGCAGTAAATCCCTTATCAAACTTAGTGGTCAGAAAAATCGCTGGAAATTCAAGGGATGGGAAGGGAAAAATAAATCCTTGGTTTCTGATGGAGGGTGGGGCAGATAAACTGAAATATCCCATTAGATACATCACAAATGCGACTTCTCCTTTCTAGCCAAACCGACTTCTATGTTTTGTTTATATACAACGTAGGGAGACAGTATACAGATCATTTGACACTAGCTATCCACATTGTTTCAGGTGGTGGTGGTTGTTTTTTAAAGTGTAAAAAAGGCAGAGAATCTCCTATCCAGAAAAAAAAAACAGGCCCGCTCCGGTGGTGGTGATCAACCTGTACCACATCAATAAAAACATGAAAGCAGAAAGCTAGCACCTCAGGGATAGGGCTTCCTGCCTAGTTTTCTACAAGCAGGGTGCATATGCCTGTGTGTATATTTAAAAAAAGGATTCGGGTCTGTGAGACTGCACCTTTGGTCATACTGTATGTGGTACAGCCCTGACCAAGGCCTGCCCCTTCAAGGAGAGGTAATAAGATTCCCCCAACATAGTTTTAAAAACTCAGCCTCCTTTGCTTTTTCTACACTTGCTCCCTAATGGGTTTTATTCCGTTTTCTGTTCCTGAGATTTCCTTCTCCATTTGGGCCCAAGGCCGGGTCCGTCCTCCCTTCCTTTACAACTTTAACCTTTCAATGAAAGCCTTTGCGAGGTAGGACAGGCCGAGATGCAGAGGCGGGGCCGAGAGGACCTCAGGCCTCAGCGAGGACTAGAACCTTGATCTCCCCAGACGCGGCCCAATGCTCTGACTCGGACACCAACCACCCTCAGCTCTTCATCCTATGAAACCTGACCTTTCCAGACAACTAAGACATAATAGCAACCTCAGGGTTTCCTCGGCTATACACCTCTTGTTATTTTTCCCGTTTAATGGGGCACCAATCCGCCCCAGAGCCTGCCGGGCACCGATGTGGCGATGCACTCAGTGTTGACGGCGTGATCCGCCAGGGTGACGCGAGTTTCCTTTCTCCTTCAACTTTGCAAGGAGATTCCATACACACAAACGGATGTCTTCCCGGGCCTTAAGATTTCGAAAGCAGCTCAGGATGAAGGAGGAAATGTCCTCAAGACCGCCTGGGTGTGAAAACCTTCCAGCCCATAAATTCTGTGGTTCAAAAGCAGGGAATGAGGGAGGGGGGGATTCCCTCCACACCAGCGATCCTTTCCTTCTAGACACTGCCCAACCCATATTTGATGGGTCCTGTCCTTGCCCTCTGCAACACCCCCCCCAACACACACACACAACCTGGACTGGCACAACACACAGCCCCTGGACACAATGGCAGGAACCCCATCACCCCCCCTCCACACAAAACACGCAAACAAGACACTCTTCCAAAATTTGAATCGATGTGCGTCTCCTTCTGATAATCTCCCAGAGGAAGGCCCACACACAACACACAACCTCTGGATTTTGGGGGGGACCCGAATCTCGACCCAACCCAACCTCTGTGGGTACGGCAGGCCCCCGCTCCAATCCCCCCAGGCCTTGAAAGCTGGAACTCGAACCTGTCTCCCCCTCCAGAAACCCCCACCCTGGTTTCCTTCACTGCCCCAACTTTTTCCCCACACTCCTTTTTTAAAAAATGATGTTTTATCCTGGCGATCTGGCCCTGCCCAACCTTTATCCAGAGGGGGCACCCCACACAGCCCCGCCTGGCTCCTGACACCCCTTCCCTTTGCCACCACAATGCCCATTCCCCACCCGCTCCAAAGTGGGGTGCTGGGTGCGAGGAACCCCCCCTCTGCTTTGACCCTTCTAAGCACCTCTAAAAAGGAAAAACCAGAATTCGTCCTGCAATCCCGGGCTTTTGACAAATGCTCTTTTCCAAAGGCCAGGAGCCAGAGATGGTGTGTTTATCCAGGAAAAAAAATAACCCTGGATGCTTCAAAAACTAGCAACCGATACAGTTGGCTTCCGACCCCCCCCGCAAAAAAAAATTACTCTAAAAGCAGGTGTTGAGACAGGAAAATTAAAAAGATTCCTTAAACAGCTCCAGGTTTGGCACCTTTCTTAAATCCATTTAAAAACCACCTTCCTTCGAGAGATGGGGTCCCCCCCCCAATCTCTAAACACCGACAGATCGCGGGGAAATCTTCCCAGAGAGGAGGAGGAGGAGGAGGATGGGATCCCTTACCCGAAATCCTGGTCCATGGATTTGAAGAAGAATTTGTAGCTCTGCACCGGCCGGTTGCTGAGGACATTTTTGAAATCCGCCAAAGTCACTTTTTCCGGGGCCACCGGCAGTTTGACCAGGTAAGGGGTTTCTTCCTCGTCGATGTGATAAATGATTTTGGTCTCCGCCATGGAAGAAGGGAAAGAAGAAGAAAAAAAAGAAGGGGTGGGGGAAAGGAGGAAGGGAATAGACAGGGGAAAGGGGGGGGGGTGCTGGG